CACAACAGAGTGAGATTGTAATGAAATGCTTGTGTTTGTCGTTCACTCCACAGACGACAACAGGAAGCCACCACCAGACATCCAGACGTGGTACTGTACTACTCTTTCAAGCCGTGTGTTCCTCCACAGGAACCAGGAGACATTGAGCCACACAGCACCTTCATGCAGAGACAGAATGAACTTTATTCTGTTGTTATATTCCAAGTTTGCAAAGGAACGCCAGGAATTCACGTGTGTTCGCAGGAGATGACACATATTCAGGGATAATTTCATTCTAAATCTCAACTTGATTGTTTTCCTTGTGTTTTATTCACCTTGAGTTGAATGTTTTTTGTAAAACTATTAAATGACTGGAAGAGGGACAATGACATATGTGGTCATAGGGTGATTTATTATTTTTTCCTCTTTCTTTCTTTCCAATAATTTCTTTCTATCTCTTTTACTTTTACTTATTATTACTTACTAATGCCATGTGTGTGTATATATATATATATATATATATATATGTAGCCGGAGGCTTTCTTCCTCCCGGCCACGGTGTGGCACTAGGTTAATTGCTGGGCGGCGCCGGTCGACCGCTTATGACCGGGTGAGCGGCCACGCCACCCTCTGACCCCTCGGGCGGAGGCTGCAGCGTGGTGTGGTAAGCTTCTGGGCACACCCCCCATACACACAGGTACGGTACTTCCTCTGTTATCCATGACCAGCGCAATGAGCACAGTGGTGACACCGACTTCCAGCTCTTGCAGCACGACAAGTGGCCGGCTTATCGGCGGATGGGCGGTCCCGCTTGGAGCTCTGTTGGGGTTGTAGTTCGTGTCCGCCGGCAGGCTGGCGTTATCCGCCTGTTTGGTTTTGTCTGTCGCTGGGTCCTCTGCCGTCTGTGGCTGGGTCCTCTGCTGTCTGTCGCTGGTGCGCTTTCTGTCCGCAGCGTCTCCGCGTCGTGGGCGCAACAGTCTTGCCCATCGGCGCACGGGAAAGTGATGCAGGCAGGGGTGTGGGTGTCTAGTGCCACCGCCCCCTGGAGTCAGTCCTGCTGTTTTGGATCGGGGTTATTCTGACGGGACCCGGTTGCTCCGTCCCGTGTTGGTTCTGGCTGGCCGCCGTACTCACGGCCTCCCCCTCGTGTCGGACGGCCGGTGGCGCATCACCAGGAGGACAGCTCCGACATTGTTGTTTAGTTTTGTATTGTACAATATTATTTTTAATTGTAATAAAAATATATTTTTATATGGAACGCTCTCTGCCCTCTGTGGATAATTGGATGTGTGCGACCTTAGTTTATTACTTCATTCATTTCCTAGGGGTGAAATTCCCCTAAGTGGCGTTGTTTGCAAAAAACCACAACCCAGTCTATATATATGTATATACTGTATATACATATTTTTGGATTAGGATTATCTTTTTCTTTCTCTCTTATCTTTCTCCTTTTCTCTTTTAATTTTGTTCTGATTATCTTTCTCTTTTTCTTTCACCATCTCTTCTTTCTCTCTCTCTTCCACTTTCTTTTTTACGAATCCCTTGTCTATAATTCAGATTCTTCAGTGAAAAGTGATATCATATACTAATATTTTTTTCAGTTTATTCTTGTTGTGGCTTTAATGAT